TGCCTGGTAAGCTACTTCACATCAGGAGATTAAACATTTGGGTTATAAACACATGTAATGGGAGATTACTTTTGTTAACATTCTGCTGGTTTGTAGTAGAAATGGAAAAAAAAATCAGCCCCCAGTTAACATATAAAGTCAATATCTACTGGACACTGGGTTGAAAAAACATCTACACACATAAAGGATTTCTCCAGGTTTTGAAGGTCTGTTTTGTTGTTGAGCAGTAGGCTTGCAGGACCTGTTTTGCAGTAAGCCCCGTGTCCCTTTTCTTCATAAAAGCAGTAGGTGGTACTTGGACAATTTGTTGCTTGGATATGATTACACAAGTCTTATTCTCAAATATGTCTTTCAGAAAAAAAAAAACATTTAAAAGCAACCCTGTTAGAGTTGTCAGTGGGTAAACTCAAGAGCAATAGAAATGGTCTCTTGTTTGTTAATTATACTTCAGTAAAAGAGCTCACCTTCTTACAGATAAATAATTAGAAAAAGAAATTTACCTGCATGACGCCAATAAAAAATAGAATGAGGAAAAGAGACCATAAAGCTTAGCACCTTAAGAAGAAGTGGTTTATAGAGAGTCCAGACTGTAATGGGCTTCTTCAGTTATATTTTTTTTCTTCTCTGCATTTTTAGTATGAACCATTTTGAGAATCAAAAATGAATTTTAAAGTAAATATCTACAAATGCTTTTTTTTACCAGGCAAGTTTCTGAGTTATGGGTTGGAGAAACCACTTCTTGATTACCTATGTATACAGTATATATTGATTGGCCTTTGACTGGGTCACTGAAGTGAGAGGGGCCTTGAGAATAGGCCTTGATAAAGAGCAGAAAACAGGAAGCATCTGTGTCTCTGGCCAAGGTCAAGCATGCTCATCCTCATCAGCTATGGCTACTGGTCCCACAGAGGCTGTGCCACTGGACTCACCTTAGACATAACCCCTAAGCTTTCTGATCCTAAAGTAGTATATATATTCTGTCATATTTGCATTATTGCTCAAATTCAATATGTCAAAAAGAAACTCCATTTGCTTGAGCATAATTTACATGCCCACAGCTGCACATCTGTGAGGGGGAGAAAATATACATGATCCTTTGGTGCTTCTCAGGTATGAAGTGAGGTTGAGGGTTGCTGGGTCTTTCCTCCCATCAAACCCCTCCTAATGAAGAAGTTCCCCAAAATGGGAAGGGGGTTTAGATACCAGCAACCAAAAAAAAATGTTTTTCTCTGAAGTAATATTCTCATCATGGTACACAACTACATTTGTGAAATTTTATGTAATAGCATCGGAGAATCTCATCTTAAAAAAATAACCATAATGATTCTATGATTCTGTAATCAAAAATAGTACCAGTTTATCATCTATAACTACACACACAATAATGCATATGATCTAATAGCAGTGGCCCCTTGCAGATATATTTCTAAGAAACCATTAACTCTGAATGTCAGAATTTGTTTTTAACATTAATTTAATTCAGATCCCAGTGGTCATGATGACATTCAAGACAAAAAAAAATTGCTCTTTGCTGTGGATGAACACAATGTGCACTTCTGTCTGGCGGAGTGAGTTTTATCAAGAAGGGCAGCCAAAGGAATTGCAAATCTTTTGTTTCTCTTTCTCTGAAAGGAGCTAAGGCAAATCATTTAATACATAATGCCAAGCAATGCTGAGAAATAGTCTTCCTCACTCCTGAAGATATTTAAAAGCTGCTGAAGCTCGGCCTCTGAATGTCAGTAATAGGACTTATTCCCAGATAAAAATACATAACCTGCACTTAATCCAAAGGGAAAGGAGTTTCTTAATCTTTTTTTTTCCAAATAGATTTAGCCTGTGTCAGCACTTTTCACATTTTCAGTTCTCATCTCCAATTCTGGTCTTTAGGTATTTGGTTTTTGTGAGAGGTAATAGGTAGTGACATCCATGAAACAAAGTATTTATAAGAAGGAATTAGGGAGCTTTATGCAATTCTTTTCTTCTGGCCACTAGAAAGAATACTCCTTACTGAATAGAGTGACCAGGAAATTAAAATCCAGAGCTAATCCACAGACCTCATTCTGTCTATTACATTTATCCTGTGCCCCACCCCGTCCCCTGCACTCTGCCTTTAGACAGCGATGGCTCCAAGTTGAACCATCTGAAAGTGTATCTCAACTAGGAAAACTTTACTGGTTTGTTTTCTCAGCTTCTCTGTACAATCTTTATCCCTTCTGGAAATGACAATTGGGAAGTAGGATAGTCAGGTAGAGAAAGAAAGTAGAAACCTAGGTTAAGTTAGAGCACACACCAAGGATAAAACCCTAAGGGTCTGGGATAGGAAAAGCAGGCGAACTGGAGCTCGGAACAGTCTACTGTAGGGTAAAGAGTGTGGGCTTGAGTTAGGTGTCTGGGTCTCAAACCCCAGCTCCATTCTGTAGAATGTCACCAGAGGCAAAATTCTAAACCCTTTTGTACCTGGGTTTCTTTACCTGTATGTGAAAATGGGGATGCATTTAAAATGCATAGCACAGCACATGAGACACAAGAGACTCTCTATACATCTGCACTGTTTATACATTTTTCTCTACTTCTAGCTATAGATAGAGACAAGTGGCTTTCCTTATTTACCACTAAAAGCACATCAACAATTCTAGAATTGTCTCCCACAAAAGGATATGTGTAAAAGCTACCATTAACTCCCATTCTAATGACTTTAGAAAAGAAGAAATATTTCCAGTATTGCAAAGTGAGTTCAAGTATCAAGCTGGTAAACTGTCAATATGTGCTCATAATTGCATGCTAACAGTAAATGCAAATGATGTTATTATATTAATAGCATACAAAATCCTGAAAGTAACTAGGATTCTGATAGCAGCTGCAAGTGACATCAGCCCTCTTCATTGTGTCTTGGATTTGGAAGTGATAATTCTCGATTGTTTTGCAATTGTGTGCTAAATGTGATTTTTTCATATCAAACAGATTATTTTGATGTAAAAATGCTGGTCATTGGAACATAGCAGAAAATCTATATAAAACTAATGCTAAGTAGGAAAATAAGGGAATCATAATCTTATATGTACTTTCAATCAACTGAGCTGAGGCCTTCTATATGGACAAATTTCTATATACAGGTGCTCACTCAAGTAGGGTCCCTGTTTGGATGAAATAAAAGGCATCTCAAGAATTGGGCTGACACTGAGATCCTGATACAGTCTTTTGCCCCCAGAGCTACTCATCTAGAGGGCCCTCGACCTGTGTACTCCCCACTGCTCAGATGTTGACATCACCATCTTTCTCCTGTGCTCGCCTCCCCTCCAGCTGAGCAGCCAATCCTGTTGGCTTTACCTTCAGAAGATAAACTCAGAGCTCCCTTTACCAACCAGTCTAGGGAAAACAGCCTTCATCTGTTGCTACATTGTTACAGTAATGACAGCAATGTTGGCAAAAGGTGACAGTGCAGTAGGTACCAGGCACTAGTCTGTGTATTTCATAGATAACAATTTATTTTGCTTTCACAACCCTGAGGGAGAGGTATGATCATCTTCAATTCGAAGATGAAGAAACTAAAGCGTGTGTGTGTTGGTGGCGGGTAATTTGCCTGAAAATGGCAGGGCTGTTCTCGAAGCTTCTACAACTGTCCAACTAGACACCCCAGTCTACTTCCAGCACAACAGACGGTGGCCATTTCAATCCCATCAAGTCAGCCCTTCACTTATCTTCCAGCACCTTCCCATATCAGGAAGCCCACCCTACTCCTCATAACCTCACCTCTTACTTTCCTCACCAGGTTCACTAGGTGCTGAGCCGCATCACTGGCCCCCTCTTTCTTCTGGGCCACTCTAGCATGCTTTGCCTCAGGTCCACGGAGTTCCCTTCTTCGTTTCCTCCCTGTCATTCTCCAGGTCTTTAGTCAAAAAACATCTCATTGAACTCTGCCCTGGCCATTCTATTTAAATTTGTACCTTTCTTCACTACAAAATTGCCAGTCCACATTTCCTGATTCTTTTTCTCTTTGGCAATTGCCCTCTTGTTCTGACATGTTATCTATGCCACTCCTTTGTCTTATTTAATGTTCATCTTGCCCTACCAGCTACAGATACCCACCCTTTCTTTCTTTGTTGCAATATCCACTCAGCCTAGAACAGGGTCTGGTACATAGTACATGTCTTTGATTTCTATAGCAAACTGATTTTGCTGTATAAAAAGACTGACAACTGGGGTTTCATCCAAAGCAATTTAGAGCTTCACGCCCCAGGCCTGAGCCATGTAATATATAAATTGGACGTTCAGCTCTAACTAATCAGGAAGTGACGCATTTGCCTTCATCTTCTCCCAGGAGGGCTCTGAAAGCTAGCCTGTTGAAATTCCAGATTTATGTTTTTGTTATTTTCCGCTAGAATCCATATCTTTGGGTGCTTTAGCTGTGCTGAAATTATTTAAGCTTTCTCTTTCCTGCCCAGGAAGTGGTTTCTACTAATGTGATTTTCTTTAGAATAAACACAAATTAAAATTGTACATAACATTTGAGTGTTGGTTTTCATTTTCAAAGGCTAATAATTAAATTTCCTTTGTTTTATAAGGTTACAGCCTCAGTGTGTGAGAAAAGTACCTGGTGGTTATTGAATTTATTGCTTGTTATTACTGAGAAATCTCTTACATTCAGATGACATAACAGATCTACAGAGCAAACCAAAGTAAACTAAGACTTATCCTGCTTCTGTCTAAAAATCTCCATACACCATTTAAAATTTAGACTTTTAGCTTAGACTTTCCTTATTTGTTTATGTCATATTCATAAAAACACTCAGAAAGATCAGCTATTTTACTTCTAATGGACTTTTGAAGTGAAATTAAACTAAGCTACACCATCATGTCCCAAAGTCTACAGATGTATTAATTTACTGGAGATATTGTGGAGGCTCATTTCTCAACTATTAAAGTGTTTGGGTGCAGACAGCTTTGCATTCAACTTGCTTCCATGTGCATTTAACATCATATTAAGTGAAGAAATTCAACTGTTATTTTGAGAGAGTTTCTTTGGCTACTTCCAGTCTAACAAATGAAATGCTAAGTAAATAAATAAATTGCCAAATAGACCTTTAAAAAGCTGTTGCATTTAATTCTTTATGTAAACTATTTCTATCCATCAAAATTTTCATTTCCATGAGAAGAGAATATTCCAAATCTCATCATAATTATGGTATTACCTGAATGGAAAATACTTTTAAAAATTATTCTACTTTTATGAAAGCTTTAAAGTTCTTCAGAAAATATATTTAGAAATTATTGCCTCAGTACAAATCATGAGAGGAAAAGTAAGAAATTGAGATCAAACCTAGATATCAAAGACATGAAACACCAATAAATTGGTTTAACGGCTATTTTTTTCTCCCATCTAAGCTACCAGGTCTAGTTAGATAAATAAAACAAAGAACAGTGCCAATGTATTGGTTTAGTATAGTAGAGTATGTAATAAACAAGAATATAGGCTTTGGTTTTACTATAAGTTTAGTTGATCAACACAGGATTTTTAGTGATTTAATTTTAATTGCCATTTTATAATATTTAAAATTTTCAACTGTTCAATGTGATCAAAATATGTCCACATCCTCACAGACAAGCAATGGATGTAGGCACTGGGTATAGTGTCTCAAATTTATTTTAAAACTTTACATTTGTTCCATTCCTGGGTTTAGGAGTGACATTACCCGGTGGAATTGGAGTGTATTTTCATTGGAAAATAGGTAACTTTAGTCATTTCACCATCTCACAAAACCGTCAAGCTGTACGTGAAGCAAGTTTGCCAGCTCCAAGGTGTTGATCTCCAGTGCTCTGATATTCAGTATCTTGAAGAGAAGGATCCAGAATAAAGCAGTAGAAGCAAGAAAGGAAGAAGATGAAGATCCAAGAGGTTGTTAAATGGGCCCTCTGAGTCAGGAAGACCCTGTGAGAGAAACAAAAGCAGTCACGCCAAGGGAAGGGAGATTCATCACAAGTACTCCAAGTGCTACTGGGTGAACCAGATACTGGATCCATGAAGCAGAATGGTGGCAGGGGCCAAGGTAACAGCACTGCCCCACCCTCCCCTTCCCCAGCCCAAGGGAAATGATTAGCTCTTGCCTTTGCTTCAATCTGCAGACAGATGTTTCATTTGACCATAGACAAATGAGCCTCCCAATGCAAAGCCACACAGAGCCCAGCTCCAGAGCGCCCCCTAGAGAGCCAGGCTCTGTACCTCATGTGCAAACTTCCAAGAGAGGGACACTGAGTAGCAGCAGGGCACGTAGGGAGTTCTTGTTTGTAAATTTCATGTTTATTTTAACATTTTAATCATAGTTTGTAATGATATCTCATTGTGGATTTAATTTTTATTTCTTTAAAGGCTAATTACATTGAACATCTTTTCACATGCCTGTTTGTATAAGCAACAACTATTCTGCTCATATCTTTTGCTTGGTTTCTAATTGAAGTTTCAGTGCTAAATTTTGAGGATATTTTTTAAAAAATATTCTTTATGTAGTGCTGTTTTGAATTAAATGTTTATTTGACCCAAAAGTCATATGTTAAAGATTAATGTGGTTATATTTGGAAGGTGAGGCCTGAGAATAGACTGCATTATTGCCCTTGTGAGAAGAGACAAAGAGAATCTGCTCTAGTGAGCTCATTCTCCTACCTGATATGCTTTCTCTCTCTCTCCTCCTCTCTCCCCTCACTCTTTCCCTCTCCCCCTCTCTTCCTCTCTCTCCTTATCTTCCTCTCTCCTTCTCTCATGCACACAAAGGAATGGCCATGTGAGGCCCCAGTGAGAAGAGTAGACTCATAAAAGGTGTTGGAAGTCATCTCAGCTCCAAAGACTAACTTCCCCCAAGAAGAACTGTCCAATGGTGAGCCCTGCTGGCTCACATAATCCTGCCACATGATTCTTACCCACCAATCAGACTAGCCCTGCTGGCTCACCTGATCCTTACCCATCAAACTGACTAGCCCTGCTGGCTCACCTGATCCTTACCCACCAATCAAAAAGCACCCCATGCCAACTGTCAAACCACCCCTGGCTCTATAACATGCAGAGATATTCCTCAATAAACAGGCATTTTCTCTGATGGCAAGCCTTGATCATTCTTTCAAAAGGAATCAGAAATATCTCTGCCTTTTCCATTTTCTGAAGGAGATTGTGTATAATTTGTGTTAAATCTATTTAAAATGTTAGGTTGAATTCCCCACTGATACTACAATGGCTTGAAAATTTCTTTTACTTGAGTTTTAAAATTATGAATTAAATGTCCTTAATAATTATAGGACAATTTAAGTGATCTATTTCCTGTTGGATGAGTTGTCATGGTCTCTGTCATGTAAGGAAAGGCTCCATTTCATCTAAGCTGTGAAGTCCGCCTGTTGCGGCAGCATACCTGCCTTCCCAATGGCTGTGAGGTCTGCAGCTACCCTTTACATCCTGGATACAGGAGATTGCTATCTTTACTTTTTATTTTTGTTAGTTATACTAGAGATTTAGCAATGATTTATTTTTCCCCAGGGTAGTTTGTATTAAAGAATCAGAATTTGATTAATTATATTTGTTATCTTCTTTTTTAAAAATTTTAATACCTGCTCTTTATTATCTCTTTCCTTTTTCTAGCTTCTGGTTTATTTTTATCTTCTTTTTCAAGTTTTTTTTTTAAACTAGATATTTAGAACGTTAATTGGAGCTTTATTTTTCTCTTCCAATGATGGCACTTTAGTTCCACAAGTTTCCCTCTCAGAGATGCATTAGTTGCAGCCCACATATTTTGACATATTGTATTTTTATTTCTACTCAGTTCTATGTAATTTTTTTCTCCTATGAGTCCTATTTGATCAATGGATATTTAGAAGTATCTTGTTTGATTTTAAATTGTTTGAATTTAGCTGATTGTGTCCTTCTGGTGGGGTTCCACAGGTCTGAAAGTTCCAAGGATTTTCTGAAAATTGACATTTAAATCTCCAGGCTTGATTAGATTCAAATTCAATTGTGTGTATACATGGTGTGTTTTTTTCTCTCATGTGTGTGTGTGTGTGTGTGTGTGTGTGTGTGTGTGTGCAAGATTAAGTCACATTTAGAAGAACACATCTGGCTGCTTCTTACTGATTCTTGCCTAAATCCATTAATTTCTCAGGTTTTGTAAAATAATGGTATTCTAATTCCATCATTCTTTTTCATTGATTAACCAAAACATTCCTAAAGAGAATTTTTCGTCATTAACTATTTGGTTATCTTAGATAGTCTAAAAGAGATCTTTCTCTTTTTTTCCCCAAAACATTCCATTTTGTGGATACACTGTAAATTATCTAACAAGTTTTCCATTAATGAACATATGTATATCTCCACTCATTTTTTATCAACAGTAATTCTGCCTTGAATAGCCTTCTCTGAACCACTTTTCTGTTTTCATTCTTGGTTCTGGCTTGGGGTTGTGGAAGTGTTTTCCAGGGCAAATATTAGTACATGGTGAACTTCTGGATATAGCCCAGCTCCTCTGATTGAGACAGGCCATTGTGCATTTCAGGGAGGACCATTCTAGGGGAAGATTCCTGGGAAAGACGTAGTTTGGACACAAGTGATAGAGAAATGGAGAAGAAAGGGAAGGAGGAGTGATGAGAGGGAAAACTGGAGGAGTTCAAAAATGGCCCTCAAGAGGAAGATTTACCCCAATAATTTTCAAAAGAATAAGGAATTTCTAGGAAGGTATATTTAAAAAATAGTGCAACAAAAGGAAATAGAAATTTAACAGAAGACTGATTGTAACTATTATCCAAACACAGGCTTAATGGGCAAACTTTCATGAAAGGCTTTTTGCACTTGTTCTGCCCTCTTAGATCAATCCCTGCAGGCAGAAGGAGAATCTTCAAAGAACAGCGGGTAAGTGATTTGCTAAAAATCCTGCAGATAATTGATTAATTGTACTGGCCTTTAACTACTAAAATGGAAGTGATTTTTTAGAGTAGCATGTGAGCGTATTTCCATTTATTTATTTTAAATAAAATGCTGGGATTTGCCATTGAAGCTCTGGGAGAAGTTTGACATGGTGGGTTGTTCCCTTGCACTACCTGTAGACGGCACAAGGAATGTCCCAAGTTCATTGTCAAGTAAAAGAAACCCCCTTTTTAGGCACTGACAAGTAAAATACATACTCCTCCTCAGATCAGCAGTACAGAATCATAATTATATTAGTAAAACGCAGTTCACCTCAATGATTTCTATTATCAGTCTCCAGTTGCTGAATAAAAAGCAAAATATTAAGAAGCTGGAAACATATTCTGCCTAGATCATTATGATTTTTCTCCCTTTACTTTATGTACAGATTGCTTACTACCATGGTGTTTATCTGAGAACAAAGAGTATAATTTCAATACACATAATAATTTTCTGTGCTGCTAAAACAACTTCCTACAAAAATCCACACTTTAGAACAATCCCTGTTTATTATCTTCAAGTTCTGTTGTTCAGAAGTCCAGTGAGTTTGGCTGGATCTCTGCTGATGATGCTTCAGCCCCAAGTGAAGAGTTCTGGAGGTCGTGGGGGAGGGTTCAGGTCTGCACCCACTCAGGCTGTTGGCAGGATCCATGCCTGGTGACCTGAGCTACCTTGTCCTTGCTGGCTGGGGGCAGAGGCAGTTCTCAGCTGTGCCATCCCCCCACTCGAGACCCCCCTTTCTCCATCTTCAACCCCCTCCAAAATGGGTGCCATTCTCTTACTCTGGATCTCTTTGCCTTATCCCTTCTACTCTCCTCTCGTATCTCTGACTCCAGCCTGAGAAATTTTTCTGCTTTTAAGGATTCAATGCCTTTAATGCCTCCAGGTTACACTGGACTTACCAGGGTAATTCGGGAGACTAGTCCTCATGTGTTAAGGTCTAATTCTAGGAAGCCCCTTCCTGGAGATACAGAAGTTTCATGTTTGAGTGAACAACCAGGGGATGAAAACCTTGGGGTGGTCTGTAAAGCTAAGCATGCCATGTTCCAAACTTTTCCTTCAGTTTTTCTTCTTCAATTACTAGGAATGTCAGGGTCTAGAATAGGACTCATTCATTGTCTGTGGTCAAAAGAATTAAGCAATTCACTCAACCATCAAATATTGATTGAAGTACCCACTGGACGCACAGCTCTAGATAGTGTTCTCACAAAGACTAAGAACAACAAAGGTGCCTCACTTTAGGAACTTGATTATTAACAGTGAGACTTACACAAGAAAACAAGTAAAAAAAAAATCAAGTGGGAAGGTACCGTGAGAAATGACGCCAGCTGGTGAGACATGCAGGGCACCCGCCTCCTCCTTCACATGACGTGGTGTGAAAAGCTCCGCGGATAACATGAAGAAGAATTAGAGAACTGGTCTGGGGAGGCCATGCACACCTGTAGTCCCTGCTATTCCGGAGGCTGAGGCAGGACAATGATTTGAGTCTAGAAGTTCAAGGTCAGCCTGGGCAACATGGTGATAACCCGTCTCAAAAAATAAGGTGAGTGCTGGGACGTCCTTTAGTGACAGAGCTGCTTAGCATATAGGAGGCACTGGGTTCAATCCCTGGCCCCAAACCGAACAATGCAAAAGAACAGAGACCTGAAAGAGTGAATAAAGAAGCCACATGGAATCAAGGGACATGGGCTTTTTAGAATGAGCAAAAAGCAAAATTCAAGTCCCTAGACAGGAAGGCCCCTGGGCTGGGGGTGGAGGCAGGACAAAGTCCATGGGGAGAGCAAGGGTGAAAGCGAGAAATAACGTCCGAAATGTCGTGGGCGCAGAAGCAGGAGTACAGCATGGGAAGCTTTTCAGTGCTATAAATAAGGTCCACCATGTACTGGACATGTGCTGTTCACAGACATGCTTTTCAATGAACTGAAGCTGAGGAAAATAAAATTCCCACTGCTCGACGACAGCGTGCCTTCAGCAAGCACCCACGGCATGTCTATGCACAGATCCAGGTACAAGCCACACTTTGATATCTACCCTACCATTTATAACATTCTGTAATTACATATTCCCCAATCGCTTAGTAGAAAACTAATCAGAAAACTCATTTCTCTTACAAATATTCAGTTTATAATTTTTTTATGGTCCTGAATCTCTCCTGTTTAATAAATATTGGATGGATAATTGAATGATAAGTGAATAAGAGGGATGAATGGATGAAGAAAAGAAAGAATAAATAATAAATTTAAAGGAGGATATCACTTATGCAAAGTTATGAGACCCAGTGAAATAAGTTCTGTACAATAGCATCAAACAGGGAGAATGAAAACGTAGCCTCGTGGCTCTAGGCAACCATGCAGTGATAAGGTCATAATGACCAGGTCTCAAGGTTGTCCAATTAATGATATTAATTAATTGGGTACTAATTAATTAAGTCATTAATTAATGATATCCCAAGGTGAATCCCCATCTCTTGTTCTAGATTAGCTGGTTAAAAAAAACATGATTTTTAGCTTTCAATGGGTTATATAAAACAGCTGATGTGATTCCTGTATAACTTCAAATCTTGTATTTACTAGCATCCTAGGCCATCATTAATTTTAATATAAAAGTAAAGAGTTTCTAAGTCACAAAGCTGCCAAACTTTGGAATTTGATTCTCTAAAGACTCAGTCTTCTTATCTATTCAATGGAGATAATAATACTGCTTACATCCTAGGATACTGTGAGGTTTAGATTAACTGATGTACCATGTCAGCCTTCGACTTCACAGATGCTTAGCATAGGGCTTGGCCTGTGTCAGAATTTGTGTAGACCAGTGGCTATGCTCACTGACAGAGTTAAAAGGATTAAAACATAAAAATCAGAATTGTTCCAAGCATCCCTACATTTATAGTTTCACATTCACCACTGTGATTTTGTTTCAGTAGAATCTGCAATGGTTACATAAAATATATATAAATATAGAAAAACTTTTGTTGGCTTTCTCAAGTATTAAAAATAACTTTTGCTCAAAAATGTCTCCTAGAGATATAGATTCACTCACCTGTGTTTATGAAAACTTTTTTTGCATGTATGTTTATTGGGTTATGGTTTACAATTACAAAATCCTGAAGATAGTTTAAATATTCTCCAATAGAAGAATGACATGAGTTATTGAATATTCCTGGCTTGTCTTTTTTTATTGATTTTATTATTTTTTTAAATACACGACAACAGTGGAATGCATTACAATCCTTATTACACATATGAAGCACAATTTTTCATATCTCTGTAAATAAAGTATGTTCGTCAATTTATGCCATTATACATGTACTTGTTTTTTTATTAAAATTCTTAATACACATAAAACACTAAGAATAATGAGGTAAAGAAATGTGAAGACAATGGAACATTACTCAGCATTAAAAGAGAATAAAATCATGGCATTTGCAGGTAAATGGATGATGTTGGAGAATACAATGCTAAGTGAAGTAAGGGGCCAAATGTTTTCTTTGATATGAGGATGCTGACTCATAATGGGGCTGGGGGGCATAGGAAGAGTGCAGGAACTTTAGATAGGGCAAAGGGGAAGGAGGTAAAAGGAGGGAACAAGGGGTACGATGGTGGAATGAGTTAGACATCATTACCCTAAGTACATGTATAAGACACGAATGGTGTGAAAATACTTTGTGTATAATCAGTGACTGGAAAAATTGTGCTCTATATGTGTAATGTGAAATGAATTGCATTCTGCCATCATGTATAACAAATTCGAATAAATATTTGAAATGCAAAAAAAGAAAAAAATTAAAAAAATAAGGGCTGGGGATGTGGCTCAGTGTTTAAGTACCGCAGGGTTTAACCTTCCATACCAAAAAAAAAAAAAAAAAAAAAAAGAATAAAAGAACTGATGAAGAAAGGAGGCCTAAAGAAAGTAAGTGCTAGGTCCAAAGTTGTGGACTCAGATTGGAATGTACCCACTCTCACTAGATTGAGGCCCTTGCCATTCTGATGGTATGTTCAGTCTGGTCATTGATCATATGTTTTACATTATTTACTCCCCTTTATTTTGATTTTAAAATTACTGTCTGTCCATTTTTTTGACTGTATGTGAAGTGATTTTTGTCTATGATCTGTCCTGCTCATAATACCTTGTAGTTCTTGCTGGATAGAGTCCCTTAATCCCAGATTCTTTTAGGAGATATTTTCTATTACCTGAAACCAACATGTATTTGAGTCAAAGACTTGAGGGTTTGCTACTGGTAATTAAGTTTGAGGAAATTATCTCATGGTTTTGTCATAGAAAAATGCAAATGATCTTTACCATGTAGAGAAGATGTAAAGATCAAATTAAGCATTAAATGCAGTGGGTTGGACATATAATATGTCATGGCTAAATAGTAATTGTCATGACCATGCTGTCATTAACATAGACCAAGTATGTTAGTATCTTTCTATGATGTTAGAATTTATTCAATAACAATAAATTCATAGGCTATAACACTTTTAAAAATGTGAAGATATTAAATGAAGTCTAATCTCCTTGAAATTGAAGCACATGAAAATTTATTCCTGTTTGTGTTAAGACTCATGATGCACACATACTTAACTTTATGTATGCTATGGAGAGAATATGGCAATAATAATTTGCTCTCGAGAACAGGACCAAGGATTTGAAGACTAGACTGAAAATCAAACAAACAAGCAAACAAAAGACAATAGAATATTTTACTATACATATACACTGTTGGGCATTTAAAAATATTTATAGTACTCATTTAATTAATAATTACTCCACAAATCAGGTAAAACATTAAAGCTGTTAAAAAATCAGATAAAAAGTTGTTTTTTCAATAGTTTCATTTTTATTTCAATTTTGGTTGACTCTAGGGCAACATTAATCTATGAATATAAAGGTAGTGCACTATAGAAACAACTCCTGTTATATTTCCAACATAATAATATTGGAGCTGCAGACAAACCTGGGATCATTTGAATTTGCTTGCCCAGACACTAAAATTGTGAGGAAATGCCTTACAGAAGTTAGTCTGACAATTTTAACTCTTCAGAGAGACTGAGGGTGAAGCAGTTTATTTAGGGATTCACTAGCCTTATTGGCTTTCTGTGGGTGATTTTAATTTCGAGGGATTCTTACAAGAGGAAAGATTGCAAACCCCATTTATCAAAGATCAGCAGTGATTAATGGCTGGGAGGCAGCTTAGTGGGGAAGAGAGTAACCAGCCCTTGGATACCAAAATATCCAATGGAAATGGAATTTACATGCCGGGTAAAATTCTATTATCTTAAGATATTGTTTATTCAACTAGTTAAACAACAATAACCCAAGAATCCCTAATATTACCGGCACAAATCATAAAACTTCAATACAAGTACAGGTGAGACATGGATCCCATTGAAATATATGCAATAGAGATTTGCTTTTGAGTTATATTATCTTTTATAATATAAATATATTTTACATTTATATTAAATATATAAATGTAAAATATATTTATATATTTAATATAAACAACTCTTTTATGATATACTTTATAAAAAAAATAAAGCCTTTTAAGCCATTTAAAATTGACTGTACTACCCAAAACTCAACTGAATTATTGCCACAAATAAACTTCTGAATTTTTTCCATGCTATAGGGATCAAATCCAGGGGTGTTCTGCATTGAGTGACATCCCCATCCATTTTTATTTTATTTAGAGACACAGTCTCCTCGAGTTGCAAAGTTGGCCTTGAATTTGCAATAGAACCTACTGCCTCAGTCTGTCAAGTAGCTGGGGTTACAGGCATGTGTTACCACATGTAGCTCACTACTCATAAACATCTTATTGCTAAATGCAAAGATTTAATGTCTATTCAATGTTTTATTCAATTTTCTGGAGAGTTGTTAACATGGATATCATACTGGTCACTCACTTGTTTTCAGGAATATCTGTCTGCTCTTGCTGAGACTTCTTTGCAGGAAGTTCTTTCCATAGGCACCTGAATGGCTGTAGGCCTCTTCTCCTCTCCTGCTCAGACTTTTGTTAACATCATCCTTCTTAGACCCACAGTCCACCACCCGCTTGCTTCTCGAGGCTGCACCTGTAATCACATGGTGTCCATGAGCATCAGTCTTCCCTGTCTGGGTGCTTGCAAACCACCTCTCCAAATCTAAACAGGGGCTGACCCCCAATGTTTCAAAAATCAGTTTCACCGTTTTCTCCATTCCACATTCTCCACACCCATCCTCTCTTCTGGTGTCCTTATCAGAGTCAGTGTCTTGGATCTACTTAGTCACTTAAGTGAACAACAGGAACATCGTCCTTTATCCCAGTGTTTCCAAGATTTTGGGATGATCAGCACTACCAGTACTATGTACTGAATGTAAATTTTGCTTATCTTCTTATTTAACAAATTTGAGGCTGAGTAAGAATCAGTGAATTAAAGCCTTTTTCACGTGGTCTTTATGATTGAACAGTTCAGACAAATGCCTTTCTTCATTCCTCCCAATTAAGTCAATTGCAAAATTGTATACTATTCTGATATCTGAATAACTCTTGATTCCATCCAGTTTTCAACCCACTAAAGGAACTTAGATTAGGACACCATCTTCTGTTGCTTTCTCAGTCACCAAACGTCTCACTAGCTTGTGTCTTTTGCACTCTGTCCATTTGTCATTCCAAACTCCTGTTCTTACTCACTGCCATTTCCTTAGGACCCCTCTGCCTAATTTTCTTCCACACACCAGTGGCATAGCAGTTTCTAGGTCAATTCTTCTTATTCCCCAGGTCTGGAATAAGTGGCTCTAAGTGTGCACACAAGTCCTATGTTTTCACTGGGACCAGATGAGGCTACCTTTTGTACATTATCCATGCCTGTCAACAGAGCTGAAGATCTGCAAAGGCAAGGGGTCATGTCATCTCTGGGACCTTCTTCAGTGCCTGGCACATTGTCACAGGCTTGCCACACCAGTTGACTGGATTAATCAAAGAGATTATGCACTGGAATTACTAACATGCAAAGCTATGGTGTAAGGTACCAGTTCATTGACTGATTAATGAACACAGGCTATTGCTGCAAATTTAAAGGTCTAATCAGTAAAAAAAAAATAGAGGAGTTTGGAGAGGACACAGAAATGACCAGTACTAACATATATGGACACTACATCAAAATGATAAAAGACTGACTCTCAACTAGCATAAAATCTGTGTAATCTTGTGTGTAAAGAGCTCCTGAAAAGCTCCTGGAAGGGCATCTAGCTCAGATTCACAAATTTGTTTTACTTATGATAATTGCTATTAAAATTAATCAAACGTGCTATGTAAATGCCCCTTAAACATATTTAGATTTTGAAAATTGCCATTAAACAGATGAGAAAATAATGGAAGTGCACTTTCAGCATAATTGTCATTAGCAAAGCTAATTGTTTGTGTTCATTTAAATGCTAAGCGTATAACTATTCACTTGCAGTGCAGTCTTTCTAGCTCAGACTAGAAAAAAAGAAAAAAAGAGAGACAAGGAGTAGGCAAGCTAAAGCACTGTCATGCTGTAAATTTTGCAGTAATAAAAACAAATTGAGAAAAGATCTCTCCATGGGGGAAATATTTCCAAACTCATTTTAAGAGGCCAGAATTGCCCCAGTACCAAAGCTGGGGGTGTGGGGAATGAGGAAAGAGAACCAGTCCCTGAATAAACACACCTGCAGAAAACCCTAAATAAATGCTGACAAACCAAATGCAGGAACTAATCTAAAAGGTTATGCATCAGGATCAAGTGAGATTTATCTCTATTATGCAAGGGTAGTTTAACATATGCAAATCAAACTATGTGACATATCACATTAACAGAATGGGAGATCAAAACTACCTGATCATCTCAATAGATGCAGAAAAAGCATTTTGCAAAGCTAAGCATCCACTCATGATAAAAACTCAAAATAGGAATTTAAACAGAAAATTTCTTCACACAATAAAGAACATTTATGAAAAACTCACAATTAACATCATAGTCAATGGGAAAAAATGAAAGTTATTTTCTCTAAGACCTGGTACAAGGCAAGGGTGCCCAACACTTCTATTCGACATAGTAGCAGAAGTACCAGAAAGAGGAATCTGATAAGAAAAAGAAATAGAAAGCATGCAAACAGAGACTGAGGAAGGAAAATTATCTATTTGCAGATGACACATCCTTATACATAGGAAACCCTAAATATTTAACAAAAAAAAAATTAGAGTTAATTAACAGAATTGATATAGTTGCAGGCTAAAAACCCCATCAAAAAAATCAGTTGTTTCTATACATTAACAATGATTTATCCAACAGGGTAATCAAGAAAACCAGCCCACTTATGATAACATTAACAATGATAAAATACTTATAAGCTAAAGAATATGCTATATGACTAAACACAGAAAATTATGAATATTTGAGGAAGTGAAAGATCCACACACTGAAAACTATGAAATATTTATGAAAGAAACTAAATGAGAGACACATTAGTGAAAAGAAATTCTTATTCATGAATAAGAAGTCAATATTGTTAAAATATCTATAATACTCAAAGCAATGTACACATTTAACACAATCTCCATCAAGATCCCAGAAAAAGAAATGAAGAAAAACATTTCTTGATTTCAAATTACATTACAAAACCATAGTAACTGAAGCATCATGATTCAGACCTACAGGCCAATGAGACAGAGTGCAGAGTTCAGAAATGAATCCAGGCTTGCATGGCCAATGAAGATTTCATAAGGACACCAAGAACCCACAATGGAAAAAAGACAGACTCTTTGATGCATGATTCTTGGAAAACTGAATACCCATATGGAAAAGAATGAAATCGGACACTTAGATCACACATAAAAATCAAGTAAAACTAGATTAACACTAACAAGTAAAATTTAATAAAACTCCTAGAAGAAAACACAGTGGATCATTTTCATGGAATAGGTCTCTGCAAAACTTGTTGGGTATGACACCAAAAGTTCAATCAATGGAAGCTAAAATAAACAAGACTACAACTTTTCTGCACAGCAGAGGAAACAATCTAGAAAATGAAAAGGCAACATATGATTAGAAGAAAATATTTACAAATCATAATCTGATAAAGGGTTAATATCCAAAACACATAGCAAACTCACACAATTCAATATAACATAAGTAAATGAACAAATAAATAAAATAACTTCTAATTACAAAATGGACAAAAACCTGAGGAAGTATTTTTTTTTCCAATAAAGACATACAAATGGCCAAAAGATGTATGAAAAAGAACTCAACGAGGCTAGTATTTTGCATTTGAGGAAAATGCAAGTCAAAATCAAAATGAGTATCAGCTCACAACCCTTGGATTAGCTACTGCCAAAGACAAAAAGTAACATGTGTTGGCGAAGGTACAGGAAACGAAAGCCATGGTACCCTGTTGGTGGAAGTGTGCACTGGTAAAGCTATTAATGGAGAATCATACACAGGTTCCTCAAAAATAAAAGGAAAACTATAATTACCATATAATCCAGCTGTCTGTCTTCTATATGTGTACTCTACATACATGAGATTAGTGCCTCACAGGGATAATCTGTACCCCTATGTTCACTGAAGCATCAGCCCTAATAGGTCAAGAAGGGAAATAACCCAAGTGTCCATCCACAGATGATTAGATAAAGATTGGTATATATATACACAATGTAACATCACCAGCCTTTAACAAGAAGCTGCCATTTATGACAACGTGGAGAACCTTCATGCTGAGTGAAACAAACAGCACACAGCAAGAAACATACTGCTCACTCTGACTTACTATATGTGCAATCTAAAATAGGCTTCACACATGAAAATAATACACATCACAAATTTCAGGAGGAGAGGAAAAAAGTAAACAAGCAATAACTAAAGAAAAAGTACAAATACATTTTCTAAACTAAAAAGAGAGCAGTAATTCCTTGAGTCCTCACATCTAAAACACGGATTGATGAGAATTCAGTGGTGATGAGGTTGGAGAGGGAGGGTGAACCAGAGCAGGAGAAGGCTGGATATGGGCATGCTGGCTCAGCTGTAGCAAGCACGTGGGACTCTTTTCCTAGTGGGATAGGAAGAAGTGCTTCAAGGAAGACAATCAAGCCCAAAGCAGTGTGACATATATTCTCTTCTGGCAAAATTCATAAAAGAGATGGTTATTGAAATGAATCCAAATAAAATCCCTGAATTCCTAAATCTCAAGATAAGAATAAGGAGAATGCTGGAAACTACAAATAGCAAAGGAGAATGCTCATTTCTGAGTTTGGGATTAAATGCCACATGTAGTCTTTGTACTATTCTGTCCTTTCTAAATTTTCCACAGTGTGCACAGAGTGCTTTTTAATCAGAGTAAACAAAACTATGCTACTTTTTAAAAAAAGTCAAACCAGCTCATACCTATTAGCCACTTGCACCCAAGTTTTCCCTTAACTGTTATGCTATTATATTAGAGCTATTTGTTAACAACATTTCATTCTGAAAAGAACACATGAATAGGCATTTAATTGCATAGGGGATTTGTACTGAAACTATTTTAATAAATCAAGTTTGGAACATCTGCAAACATTTGTACCTAAACTGCATATTTGAAGGAACAAAACCAAAAAGCACAAAAGCTCTGAATCAAAATAAAGATGAAATATTTCAACACAAAACTGCTGCCAAAATCACAGTATAAAATCATTGTTGTTTTGTACACAATTCTGAATTGTTTAATGAAGTTCTGATTGTCTTTGATGCAAAGTAGCAAAGTTCTTCAGATAGAAAAGCAATGTTTTTCTTTAGTTTACAGCCAGTGAGAAAAATCATAGAAATCAAGGAAAATAATATCGAATGCAATGTTCTTTGGTTTTCTTATTCCAAGAGATGTTTGGTTTACTCTCACAACAAGATACATTGTCACCATTGTCAAAAACAACAGAACTCATTTAAGCTGACACAACCTTAAAACACCCCAGAGAAGGCGCCTATTACCTATAATGGGTAGAAAATGAGTCATCAAATGCCCTATTCCCAGAAATGGATTTGAAGGTGGAGGAGCAAGTATTTCTTCTCAGGTACTTATCAGAGTCTATAATGATA